CCGCGCGGCGGCGGCGTCGCCGCCGCCGGCCGCGTCGTCGTCGGCGACCGATACCCTCACCACCGCGCGAGCGTCATCCCTCCAGTGGCTCGTCTGGCCCGACGTCGACGTCGCGCACAGGGAGCTGATACGCGCGGAGTGCCCGCGGATGCGGATCGTCGCGCCGTCGAAGGAGGCGTACCTCGCCGCCGCCGCCGTCGCGACGTCGCCGCGGTTTCGAGCCGTCGACGGCGAGGGCTGGGTCGCCGTCGGGAAGGCTGCCTCGGCGCCGGTCGACGGCGGCGGCGTCTCGTGCCCGTGCCCGCGCCCGCGCCCGCGCCCGCGCCCGAAGCCGCGCGGGATCGGGTTCGGGAGGGGAGAGAACAACGACGGGTTCGTCGTCGTCGCGTCGGCGTCGTCCAATCTGGCGGCGACGCGAGGACGACCGTGGTGGATCTCCGCGGCGGCGGCGCGCGGCGCGCCGCCGCCGCGCGAGGCGGACCCGACGACGCCGCTCGACGCGCCGGCGCTCGCGTGCCTCGACGCTTCGGCGCGCAGCGGCTGGCGCGGCGAGGCGGCGGCGTCGACGGAGGCGATGATGTTCTTTTCGGGGGGGATGAAGGACGAAGACGGCGGCGCGGCGCCGTCGAAGCGCGGGCTCGGGCTCGGCGCGGCGGCGTTGCGTTGGCGTCTCGGCTTCGCGGAGGACGCCGACGGCGTCTCCGTCGCGGAGCGGTTTAAGAGAGCGTGCGAGGAAGTCGACGCGGAGCGTAAGCTGAAGCGCGAGAAGAACAGGAGGAAAGGACGGAATCGAACGCTGAATAAGCTCGGGAAGAGTTCGTACGAGCGCGCGATGTTCGACGCGTTGGACGACCGATCGCCGTTCGATCCGCGCCGGCGCGCGTACTGATGCCTACCTTCGAAGGTACGTGTACAGTACGCGCGTAGTCTAGCTAGATTTAGAAGACGAGGAGAGGGAGTCATCGATCGCGAAGAAGTTTCGCGTCCGTCCCTCGTCCACATGATAATATAATGATCATATATCGCGGAGCGCGGGCTATGGGCTAAGGTAAGGGAGCGACGTCCGCCGGCGCGGCGCGGCGCGGCGCTGCGTTCTCCCGTCGGCGGTCGACTCGCGTTCCGTTCCGAGATTCCGTTCCGTCACTCGAACGCGTGCAAGACTTTCTTGCACCACTCCACGGACACGAACCGCACCACGTTCAGCGGCACCTGCCTCGCGGTCGTGGGTATCAACCCCTTATACACCGCCCCGATCCCCTCCCCTTTCACCGTCTTCACGATGCAGTCCAACGTCCCCGAGTACGGCATCTTCCCCGTCTTCGGGTCCGGCTTCATCGACATGAGCCGCGACTTCGCGAGGTCGATCGGATTACTCGTCAACGCCGCGACGATCCCAGCCATGAACGACGCCCCCGTCTGCACCGCGAGGCCGTCCTTCACGTGCGAAACCTCCAATATCGTCGCTTTGCTCTTGTCGTACACCGCCATCTGCGACGCGGTGACGATCATCGCTCGGTTCACCGTGGGCGCGCATCCTCGCCAGAGCGCGAGGACGCCCTCTTCTCGTACTACTCGGACGAGCGCGTCGCCGCCGTGGCGGTAGTGCCGCCGCGCCTCCATCGGCAACCGCCCGTCCGCTTGCATGCGCACCATCGCGAGGTCCGCGGGGTTGCCCACCGCGGCGCCGATCGCGCCCGCGCCGAGGCCGCACAGGGTCATCTTCCAGAACGGCAGCGCGCCGTTCGCGTCCCGATCGCCCGGCATCGCGGACTTGAGGAGGTCGTACGCGCCAAACTTGGTGCCGATGAACGACGCCTGGCGCATGAGCGACGCGGAGAGGCCTTTGTATAGCCCCTTCGCGCCCTCGTGCTTCACGACGAGGAACCCGGTGCGCATCATCCCCGGGGGCGGGCTTATCGCGGAGGAGGATGACACGGAGGACGCGACGGAGGCTCTTGTTCCAGCGACGCCGTCGCCGACGCACTGCCCGTAGAGTTGCATCCGCACCTTCACGAGGTCGATCGGATGCGTCACCGCGCCGCTGAGCATCGCGCCGGTGCTCCCGGCGACGAAGCCTTTCCACGGCGCTTGCTTCTTCGGAGGCGCGTTCGTCGCCATGGCGGGCGTCGTCGCGAGGCCGCCCGCGCGGCGGATAAAGATTATTAATCGGAGGCGTGCTGCGGCGCCGACTCGCGAGATCGAGCTTTTTGAGCCACCGAAATTCACCGCGAGCGCGCCTCGAAAAGGTCGCTTTCAAAATCCGGTTCCTCACCGGCGGCGACCGTTCAAAAAAGACCCGCGGCGCCGCTTTCGAGCGGATACGATCGAGAATCTCGAGGCGGGCCGACCTGAGCGCGCGCAGCACTTTATTATTCGACGGCGGGCGCGCGCGTCGAGCGGGGCGCGTCACAACAGAACGAGAGGCGTCGGCGACGCGCGCACCGCGCCCGTCTCCTCGCACGTCGCGAACGCGTCGAGGGACCGCGGACGGCCGCACCCGCGCGAAGCGACGCGACGCGCTCGCCGATACTCCCCGCCGCGGGCGAGATCCATCCCCCGGCCGCGTCGGGGCCCAGGGAGGAGAAGATGGAGTTCGACCTGCGAGAGCTCGAGCGCGCGGTGGACGCGGTCCGCGCGCGCGCGAACGGCACGGGGTGGGCGGAGAGCGAGCGGAAGTACAAGGAGAAGATCGAACAGCTCGAGGCGATCAACCGCGCGCTCGTGCAGGAGCTCAGCGGCGCGAGGGGCGCCGGCGCGTCGACGACGATGGACGGCGCGTCGACGGACGCGTTATTGATGGGGACCGCCGCGGCGTCGCGGCGTCCGATTCACCAACAGCAACAACCCGCGACGGCGTCGTCGCCGTCCAAGGTGCTCCGGTCGGACTCGTACAAAGCGCTTCGATGCTCGCAGACGCACAAGCTCACGGTCGTGCAGCTGGACGGCGACAGCACGAGCGGCGGCGAGAGCGGTCGCAGCACGCCCGCGCCGACGGTGGGTCTCGGGGTCGGGGACGGAGGAGGAGGAGGCGGCGCGTTCGTCGCGCAGAATCGTCATCGCGTCTCCGACGCGTCGATCGCGAGCTCGAGCTCGAGCCCAGACCACGCGCGCGACGGCGAGATCGAGCGGCTCGCGGAGGAGGCGTCCGCGAGGCTCGTGATAAACGACCCGCGCGAGAGCCCGGGGGGCACGAACGACGGCCTCGGAGGGATCCAGGGCAGGGGAGGGTTCGAAGGGCATCATCATCATTCGCACTCGATGGAGAGCCTCGACTGGAACGACGAAGAGCGAAGAGCGAAGAGCGGGTCCGGGCGCGGCGGCGGCCCGGGCGGCACCCTGGGCGGGAACGGGGGGGGCGTCCCCGGATCTATGGGCACGAAAGCGACGCCGCTGTTATCCCCGCTCGGCCCGAACGCGAAGGTGCCGTTCAAACTGCTGATGTGCAACGACGACGGCTGCGAACTCCACGAACCCGCCGACCGCGCGATCCGATCGCGTCAGACGGGAATGCCGCACTCGCAGTTCTCCTGGACCTCCCCGCCGAAGAACGCGCTCGTCGTGAAGAAACCGAACGACGTGCAGACGACGGAGATGATGCCGCGCGTGGTGGACATGCTCGCGAGGAACGACGTGGAGGCGTGGGTGGAGCCCGCGGTGCACTGGGAGACGGGGCTCGGGAAGACGTGGGCGCAGGACGACGACCCGCGACTGGACGGCGTCATCGACTTTATCGTCTGCCTCGGCGGCGACGGCACGATCCTGTGGGTCTTGAACTTGTTTCCCAAGAGCGTCCCGCCCGTGGTGTCGTTCGGGATGGGTTCGCTGGGGTTTCTGACGTCGTTTTCGCGCGAGTCCATCCCGCGCGTCGTCGACGACGTCGTCAAGGGCGACTTCGTCTTCACGCTCCGCTCGCGGCTCGTCGCGCACGTCGTCAAGGCGGACGGCTCGGAGGAACGCCGACGGCACATCGTCCTGAACGAGGTCGTCATCGACCGCGGCGCGAACAGCACGCTGATCGACCTGGACGTCAACATCGACGGGAACCCGATGACGAAGGTGCTCGCGGACGGAGTCATGATCTCCACGCCGACGGGGTCAACCGCGTATTCGCTCGCCGCGGGCGGGAGCATGGTGCACCCGGGCGTCAGCGGCGTGCTGTTCGTGCCCATCTGCCCGCACACGCTGTCGTTTCGGCCGCTGGTGCTGCCGGACTCGGTCGTGCTGACGATCCGGGTGCCGGAGAGCGCGCGCGTGGAGCCGTACGCGAGCTTCGACGGGAAGGAGCAGCGGTGTCTGAAACGCGGGGAGAGCCTCGTCGTTCGCGGGTGGCGGTATCCGGTGCCGTCGATTTGTAACTCGGGGGAGAGCGTGGACTGGTTCCGCGCGGTGAAGGAGTCGCTGCTGTGGAACGTTCGCGGGAGCATGCAGAAGCCGTATTAAGTTACTGTAGTCTGTAGTATTTCTATTCTCACTCGTTGTTGTACACCGTCGTCGACGCGAGCGCGAACGAGGGTATTATTCTAGTTTCCGACGCCGACGCGCGCGGCGGCGAGCGCTTCGCGGCTCGCGCGCAACCGCTCCAGCCTCTCCTCCACGGCCGCGGCGGGGTACGCGACCCGGACCCGCGCGACGGCCGACGGCGGACGATACGGTTCGCAGAGAGCCGGCGGCGGCGGCGACGGCGGCGGCGACGGCGACAGCGGCGAGAACGCGAGCGGCGACGGCGGCGCGAGGTATCGCGGCGGCGGCGGCGGCGGCGGCGTTCCGGCGAACCTCACCGTCCTCCGTCTCGCGGCGGTCCCGCCCGCGTTTTCCTTCCCCGTCGACGGCGGGTCTAAGAACAGCAACGCTGGCGGGACCGCGGCCGCGGCCTTACGCGCCGCCTCCGCTTTCACCAGCATCGCCGCTTTCGTCATGCGCACCTCGGGCGGCGCGGGGGACCGCGGCGGCTCCGTCGCCGTCGCCGCGCGCGAGGGTCTTTTTTTCGACGTCTTCTTCTTCTTCCTCGCCGCCGCGGTCGTCGTCGTCGTCGTCGTCGTCGTCTTCGCGTCGAGTGCGGGCGCGAGCGACGACCTGTCCGAGAACCCCGCGGCCGCGAGCTGCCTGCGGACGTTCTCCAGCCTCTCCGCGAGCGGCGGCGGTGGAGCTTTGGCGTCCGCGCCGGACGTCTCTTCGTCCCCGTCCGCGACGACGACCGCGGCGGCGGCGGCGGCGGCGGCG